GCCTGCGCACCGGAGGCAGGTGAGGCCCGAGCGCGGGGAGCGGGGCGGGGGGCGCGGGGGCACGGCCGGAGCCGCTTCCCGGGCTGCAGCCGCTGCCAGGGCCGGGCACGGGCGAGCCCTCGGTGTGGCGGGGCTCCCTCCGCGCTGCCGGGGCCAGACCCCCMACCCGGGGCTCGGTACCGAGCGGGCGGCAGGGCAGAATCTGCCCGTTTGTGTGGAGTTTCTTTTCCCTGAAACGCCGAATATCCCGGTGCCGGTAACGGCGAGGTAAGGAGCGTACGGGAGGGGTGGGGATCCTCCCGCTGTCCCGGGGCTCTCGGCCGCCGCTGCTCCGGTTTGGGGGTGACCGGGACCCTCTCTCCATCCCGGTTTGAAGGAGGACAGGACCCTGCCGCCATCCCGGTGTGGGGTTTGGGGTTTGGGGGGTGACACCCGGCTGTGCTGCAGCTGGGGCAGGGGATAGGCGGGGTCTCCATCGGCTCCGCTGGTGCTGTGACACGGGGGTGGCCCCGGGACACACGGGGCACTCACAAACAGCGGATTCAGCCCCCCAAAAACACTCCCCCAGAATGTGCTGCCCTGTCCCGCCACTGTCACCAACCCGCGGGGTGGCGRGGCCCCCATGGCTCCCAAGGCCACCCGGGTGTCCCACAGGCAGGAGCCTTGTCCCACCAAGGGGTTCTGAGCATGGCTGGGTTGGACCTGCGCTGGGAAAAGGCTGTGCTGAGGGTTCCACTCGCACCGTTGGGGCACAGCGGAGGGATGGAAATTAATTCCACAGAGTGGGAATGCCACAGGYCATTGAACTGGGTGACACTTTGCATCCTGCCCTGCTGGTCAGGAGCTGCCCCACACCWGGGCACTACTGGGGAGCTGAGGAGGGGGACAGGGGCACTGAGGTGGCCAAGGGACACAACACCAGCTGTAAATACTTGTGAGATAAACATTGGGAAAGGGGTAGAATTGCTGTAACCAAGGGATGAAGCACAGAGCCCTGGGAACACCGCAGCGGAGAGGAGGCTGCTCTGCTGGGGCCAGAAAGGYCGATTTTGGGTTAGCTGGTGTTGGAAGGGTGAATTTTTCATGRAGGCAGCAGGGATGAAGGGAAGGGGAGCACCTTTGGGTGTCTCAGCGCTGTCACTCAGCAGCCACATTCGGTCGTGCTYGGCAGGGATCGGCAGGGCCCTGAGCACCGGCTACTGCCGCCTGTGCCACGGCAAGTTCTCCTCGCGGAGCCTGCGCAACGCCTTCGGCAAGGTGCCCGTGCTGGGGGAGAACTCGGAGAAGCAGCGGCGCGTGGAGCAGGTGTTCTTCGCCGACTTCCAGCGGCTGGTGGGCGTGGCGGTGCGGCAGGACCCCGCGCTGCCTCAGTTCGTCTGCAAGAAATGCCATGCCCAGTTCTACAAGTGCCGCAGCGTSCTCCGCACCTTCATCCAGAGGGTGAACGCCTCGCCCACGGGCCACGCCAAGTCCAAAGGAAAGTACGTGGTTTTCCTTGCCTCCCGCGTGCTCCCCGCTCGGTGAGCCCCAAATCCCACTGTGCCACTCTGGTTTTTGCAGGAGCAGYGGGGCCCAGGCGCAGACGGGTGTGGAAGGAGGTGCCTCTTGCCTGGGTGAGTGTCCACTCCCCTTTATTGCCACATCCAGGGTGGTTCTGGTGTCCTTYGACAAGGCTGGTTATGGTTCCCCTTCTTCCCTCTGGCTTCCCAGGAGAATCTGCACCTTCCTGAGCTGAGCCAGACAGGCACAGGCTGACCAGGGGTTGGGAAGAGCAGGCAGAGTGGGTTTGGGTGGCAGTGCTAGGTCTGTTCCAGCTGCTGTAGGACACTGGGGACGATCAGAAATACCCTTCYATTTGTGAAGTGAACGATGGAGGGAGGCGGTGGAGTCACTGTCCCTGGAGTAGTTTGAGGAAAGACTGGACGTGACACTCAGTGTTTTGATCTGGGTGATGGGGTGGCATTTGGTCACWGGTTGGACTCAGTGGTCTCTGAGGTCTTTTCCARCMTCARTGGTTCTGTGATCATGGCAAGTGCTGGGRATGCTCCACTCCACCCCTTTGGGGTGGCTCCCACTTGCCTGGCGGGGGCAGACCCACATCCCTGTCCCCTCCACATCACCTCCCTGCCCAGCCTGACTGTGCTGCCTCTCCCCTGGCCAGTTGACCTGATCACGTCCAGCCCGCAGTGCCTGCACAGCCTGGTGACATGGACGCACACGCACGCCGGCAGCTGCGCCTCGGTGCCCGGGCTGCGGAGCGTGCTCTCCTCCGAGTACTGCGGCATCATCCGCGCCGTCTGGGGCTGCGGGGACGGCCACGACTACGTCATGGACACGGACTCGGACTGCAGCTCCGCGCTGCTCGACAACGCCTTGGCCGTCAAACGGGAGTGGAGCAAGGGCACGGCGCAGCAGCGCCTGACTGACAACGGCGCCGGGGCAGACAATGCCGAGGCTGTTCCTGCTCCCAAAGCCCAGCATGCTCCAGTAAGGACAGCTCCTTGCCAGCAGCCCACCAACAAAGGGAGCACGGCGGTGCCGCTGRCGGTGGAGAGCGAGCTGCCACAGGACAGGGATCAGTGTCCCTCGCAGCCRGACAGCACGGCCTCYGTMCAGGAACAGGCCCTGCCGCAGCCCRTCTCCCCGCTGAGCACTGCCACAGGTAAGGGATTTGCTTCCTGATCTCCCTGCCGGCCTCAGGGGAAGGACAGGGAGCTGGAGAGGTGGCCCAGGGAGTGACAAAGGGCTGAGCTCTCTCCTTGGAGATGGTGTTCCTCAAGAGAAGTGCTCAGAGATTGGCCTCTGGTCGGGGAGGAGTACACAGAGCCTTGCAGAAGGGGCAGGGGAGCACAGGGTCACACTCCTGACAGAGGGAAGAGTCCACTGCCGTGCTCGTCCTGTAAATATGGTCACTCCACCACATTTGCCAGATGTTTCTTTCTGCTCGACCCCAAAGTTGGGTTCCCCTGCTCCACGGCAGCTGATGCCAAACCCCAGAAACCCCTTTTGTCCCTAAAGGAGAACTGCTGGGGGTCAGCTTGTTATAAACAATCCCTGATGACCACGGAGCACGTGTTCCCCACAGTGTGATGACACGAGCACACCCAGAGCAGTCGGCTCCTCCTCRGCCGCCGTGGGTCTGCTGCTTTTCCTTGTAACGCACCGTGTTCTTCATTCCCTAGGACAGTTGAGTGGGAAGCAGGTTCTGTCTGCAACGTCGGATGAGCGGGTAAAAGACGAGTTCAGTGACCTTTCTGAGGGGTGAGAGAAGAGTGGGTTTAAAATAGCCTAAATGTGTTCTTTGCCAGTGTGAACTCCCCAGCCTGGAGAGCTCTTTGTCTGCCAGTGCCGGGGTTTGGAGCGGTGGCTTTGCTGCAGAGCTCACAGGACCAAAGCTCTGAGCTCCCTCCTCTGCTCCAGGCAGTTTGCACACACGTGTGCTCCATATTTGTTGGCTGCTTCCAGCAGCCCTGGCCCTGTTTTGTYCCCTCTCTGCATGGGGAAGGAGCTGTGCTGGGAGCTGCTGCTCCAGCCCTTCCACCTCCAGGCAATTCCCTCTGCGGCTGGAGCTGYGGAGAGCCCTGGGAGCGGGAATGCAGGCACGGGGTGGCACGTGGAGAAACCACCCCGTTCCCTCCAGGGAGAGCAATTCACTGGGAATGGGAGCGGGAGGGACCTGGCAGCTCCCTCGGGAGCAAAGATTTGGCTCAATCCTTCCAACAGAGGTGTTTGGAACGGGGCTGTAAATACASGAATCCAGGCGTTCTGAGTCTAAAGGGCCAAGTGCAGAGTGATTCCAGTGTCAGCTGAGCCTGTCAGCTGTCACATTAAAGGAGCCGTAACAATTTATTGCCTGTTTCCTGGCGTCAGRAATTAATTGCTTCTTGTATGGCTTAAAGCCCAAAAGGAGGAAAAAGAAAACTCCAAATGTGGCTGTTAYATTTGAGGGAATCCAGGATGACCCGTTGCTTCATTAACCTGCGCCAGACAATTATGTGACATTCTTGCTCCACAAAATTCCTTTTTCCAGTAGAGGAAGTGGCAGCCACATCCCTCGCCCATGAATAGATCCTTTCAGTAACAGCCGTTTTTTTGTTCTCCTGACAGTAGTTTGATTATTCTTGCAGAGATTTAGCCCTAAAAGGACCCAATTTGGGTCTTTGCTGTGTTCACCGGCGCTGTGTTTGCTCCTTGGGGAGAGGATGGGGAGGAGAACACGTGGAGCAGCTGCCGTGCTGTGCCCTGGGGGAGATGGATGTGCTGGGAACGGGGAACTGCYGAGGGTCAGCCTGAGGCCACATTGCTAAAGAGCAACTTCTCTCACTCAGGGACTTCTTGAGTGACGATGAAAGCGAGAAGAGAAACGTGCAATCTTCAGATGACTCCTTCGAGCCTTACCCCGAGAAGAAGTAAGGCGTTCTTGGGGTGGGTGGGGGCCTGGTGCCCACCCCTGTGGGGCCAACACATCTTTTCTTGTGGCTCTGTTCCCTACACACTCCTGCCTGTGGGTCACAGAGGTGTCCCCAAGCTCCCTTTTGGGTTGAAGCTGGGCCACATCCCTGATCCCCAGCCTGGCACAGCCACGGGTGGGTCACATACCTGGGGCTGTCACAGACAGGTGGAACAACTGGGGACACTTAGGTGGGACCAAACCCAAGATCGAGTCTTAAATCACTGTCCTGGTTTTTTCTTGGAGGGTTTCTGGCAAGAAAAGCGACAGTAAAGAAGCAAAGAAGGCAGAAGAGCCCAAAATAAGGAAGAAGCCGGGGCCTAAGCCAGGCTGGAAAAAAAAAATCAAATGTGAACGGTAATGAGGGTGTGTCTGGGCTGGGCCACAGCCCCACACGTGTCCCACCTCACACAGCTCTGCTTGCAGGGAGGAGCTGCCCACCATCTACAAGTGTCCTTACCAGGGCTGCACCGCTGTCTACAGAGGGGCTGATGGCATGAAGGTGAGTTCAGGCTCTGCTGCTGCCCCACACTGCAGCTCCTGGTGACTGAGGGTCACAGTGATGGGATCAGGGGATCCTGATGGGTGGGTTTAATTCCCCACCTTGCTCTGGGGGAGGCAGTGAGTTGCTAACAGCAGCCTGCTGGGAGTCCTGGCCTTTTCCAGTCTGCTCTGGCTCTCCCTGATGCTCCTGTCCTGGACAGCTGCCCCTGGCTCAGTGCCCTTGGAACGGGCTCTCTCTGCTGTGTCCAGCTAAGGACACACCTTCTGCTGCCAGATGAGGATGCAAATCATGGTTTTCCCATGATTTCAGTTTTTGGGGATCTGTGCTGTTCCCTGTCAGCAGCTCTGTCCTTGCTTTGCAGAAACACATCAAGGAGCACCACGAAGAGGTGCGGGAGAGGCCCTGCCCTCACCCTGGCTGCAACAAGGTGTTCATGATCGACCGGTACCTGCAGCGGCACGTCAAGCTCATCCACACAGGTGAGTCCCAGCAGGTGACAGCCACAGACACCCAACACCTCTGGCACCAGGCTTGGAGGGGCTGAGGCTCTGKGAGGGGGCAGAACTCCCTGTGTGCCTCTGCTCTTGGAGCAAGCAATCCTGTGGGGGACAGGAGGAAGGGTGGGGGTTCAGACTCCAGCAGGGCACGTTCCAGGATCCTGGCAGAATCCGTAACTCTCCCGTTTTCCATGGCAGAGGTACGGAACTATATCTGTGATGAGTGTGGGCAGACCTTCAAGCAACGCAAACACCTCTCGGTCCATCAGATGCGGCACTCGGGAGCGAAGCCCCTGCAGTGAGTGATTCCAGTGGGGATTGAGGGATTGGGCACTGACCCTGGCACTAATTCTGGGCTACAAACACTGCCTGGAGCTGGCAGCATCCTGGCTGGRTCACTTTAAATGGAATGAATGAGGAGAGGGAGGGAACACCTCTGCTACGAGGAAAGGCTGAGAGAGCTGGGGGTGTTTAGCCTGGAGAGGATTCCAGAGAGATCTTAAAGCCCCTTCCAGTGCCTAAAGGGGGTCCAAGAGAGCTGGAGAGGGACTGGGGACAAGGGATGGAGTGACAGGACGAGGAGGAATGGCTTCCCACTGCCAGAGGACAGGGTTTGATGGGATATTGGGAAGGAATTCTTCTCTGTGAGTGTGGGGAGGGCCTGAGTCCACAGGTTGTGGACTGAAAGTGTTACAGACCATTCCCAAAGTGTTACAGACCAAGTTGGACAKGGCTTGGAGCAGCCTGGGATAGTGGGAGGTGTCCCTGCCCATGRCAGGGGTGGGATGGGATGMACATTAAGKCCCCTTTGCAGCCCARCCATTCCCGGATTTTATGGTTCAATGCAATGTCCATTCCCAGCACCTCCTCCAGCCCCAGCGCTCTCTGTGGCGAGCAGGGCAGTGCCAGGCTGGTGCTGGAGCCCCCGTGCCCTTTTCAGGTGTGAGATCTGCGGGTTCCAGTGCCGCCAGCGCGCCTCCCTCAAGTACCACATGACCAAACACAAAGCTGAGGCTGAGCTGGAGTTTGCCTGCGATCAGTGCGGGAAGCGCTTCGAGAAGGCCCATAACCTCAACGTCCACATGTCCATGGTGCACCCTCTGACCCAGACTCAGGACAAAGCCAAGCCCCTGGAGCCAGAGCCCATCCTCCTCCTCACCACRTCAGGGACTGTGGAAGGCCAGGGGGTGAAGCCAGAAGTGACTGCACAGCCCGAGCCCACCTGAGGGGACGGGGCCACGTTCCCAGCCCAGCCCCTGGAGATTTTTAATCTACGTTTTAGTCTCCCAAAGAACTCCGTGGAATTAGCTTCAGCTTGCTCAGAAAAGGCTTGTTCTCATGCAGTGATTTCCATGCTYACGTCTGATTCAGCAGTGTTGTACTAAGAGTGTCTAATCCCAGGGCCAGGGGTGTCAAAGCTCCTTTGTGTCCCCAGCCCCACGCACACGTTGTAGAAACCCAGTTGGCCACAAATGTTCCCTGCCTGCACAGAGGTGCCCTTGGGGTCTTCAGGGGGACAGAGGACAGTGGGACAACTTTAAGGAGATGTTTTGGAAAAATTTAAAAAAAAAAAAGGATGAAAACAAACATAATTATAATTCCCAAAGCAAGTTCTAAACTGAAAATTTGTAACCTACTTTTTATTGTAACAAGAGCTTCATGGTTATGCTTGTAATAAATTATTTACAAAGTAATTTGAAAAAAGTGGCGCAGGTGAGAAAGGCGAGGTGKMACTGAGGTTTTGGGCTGTGTTYSTTCCTCAGAACAGCTGCAGCTCTTCCTCCAGCTCCATGTCCACAGGGGGCCGTGAGAAATGCAGGAGGGTGGCTCCCAGCTCAGGGTCCAGTTCTTCACAAGTGCTCAGGAGCTGGGGAGAGCACAGGGAGTCAGTTTAGATCTGCTCGTGCTTCCTCCAAGCCCGGCCCAGCAATTTCGGGGCTGCCTCAGCCCAGCACAGACAGAGCATGGGGAAACTTCCAYTCCTGCCTTTGTGCCTGACAATTCCTCAGAGCCAGCAGGAATGACCACACGAGGGCAGGGTTTGATGGGCTGGGAACGGTGGAGAATGTGGCCATGGCTGAGCACCAGGTGTCCTCCTGCTCCCGGCTTAGTGAGGGAAGCAGGGAGAGCCCCAGGAGAGTCAGGGAAGCACAGAGCATCCCCAGGAGGGTCAGGGAAGCACRGARCATCCCCAGGAGGGTCAGGGRAGCASRGARMRYCCCMRGRRGGKYMWGGRAMSMMGGRRSAKCCCCAGGAGGGTCAKGGAAGCACAGARCATCCCCAGGAGGGTCAGGGAAGCACAGARCATCCCCAGGAGGGTCAGGGGAGCACAGAGCATCCCCAGGAGGGTCAGGGAAGCACAGAGCAACCCCAGGAGGGTCAGGGAAGTACAGAGCATCCCCAGGWGGGTCAGGGAAACACAGAACATCCCCAGGTGAAGCAGAGAGAGCCCCAGGTAGGTTAGACTGGCCCAGGTATGGGATCAGTGCCCGAGGAAGCAGCAGCACCAGGAGAAAAGGCAAAAGGCCTGCACGTACCGGCTGAATGTTCCGAAAGCTCTGGGCAGGGCAGTGGGGGATGGCTCCCAGCAGGAACTGCCGGGCTGCAGAGATCAGCTCCAGGGGATCCTGCACAGCACGGGAGAGACACGGCCAATGTCACCCTCAGCCCAGCCCCTGCTTCAGAAGAGCAGCATCAGCCACAACCCCACATCCAAGGCAGTCACAGCTCAGAGGCTAAGGGGTGCTCGGGGTTTGGGAGCAGCCCCAGTCCCATGGGATGAGGATCCTGCTGCCAGCCACGGCACCTGCACGAGCTCCCTCTGCTCTGCACAGGAACAACTAAAGAACAGGATCAGTCACAAGGGGCTTTAAGCTTAAAAAGTGTAGATTTAGACTGGATATTAGGAAGAAGTTTTTCCCTGTGAGGGTGGTGAGGCCACAGGGTGCCCAGAGCAGCTCTGGCTGCCCCATCCCTGAAGTGTCCAAGGCCAGGCTGGACAGGCCTTGGAGCACCCTGGGACAGTGGAAGATGTCCCCACCCATGGCAGGGGTGGCACTGGATGTGCTTTAAAGTCCCTTCCAACCCAAACATTCTGGGAGTCTATGATATGAAATAAAAAAGTCCAGACTTTACTTACKTGCTCTGCAGAATCTTGATCAGCCTGTGGCAGGACTTCCCCTTCCACGAAGAGCTGCAGCAGYTGGATGTAGAGCTGCAGTGCCACGCTCAGGAAGGTCGGCTCCCTCYGGAGCAGCTCAGGGTGGAGATGGGGGGTGAGGCTGGGGGAGGGCACGGGGGGCTCTGTTGGCTCTGGGGCACACAGGCACAGGGCAAACACAGACACTGCTCTGCCCTGCTTCATGGGTCCCACTGTGTGCAGGGCCACCCCAGCAAGGAAAGGCAGCTCCAAACCCTCATGTTGGGAGCACGAGGCTGAAGGGAAACTTCTAGCAAAGTTCTTTAGCACAAGATGCAGGGCTCATCAGCTGTGCCCTGATGAGGTGCTCTGTCCTGCACAGCTCAGGTGAGAGGTGACTCTGCTCCCCTCCAGGCCAGCAGTGCTGTGGGTGCCCTCAGTGCCCTCTCCTGCCCAGCTCAGCCCAGCCCAGTACCTGTAGAACGCCACGGGCAGGAGCCGGGTGTGGTGCTCCGAGGCTGCACTGCGCAGGACACGGCACTTCCCAGGGTCTGCAAGGACAGAGAGAAGCCCTGAGCACCTTCTGAGGGCCTCACATCACCTTTCACACTCCTGGAGCAGCACAGTTTTCCTTGCAGCCCACAATAAATACTGGTGCTTGGGGGTGGTGACCAGCAAGAGAAGCAAACTGTCCCCTCGGGCTTTCTCTGCCTGAGTTCAGTCATTGCTGATCTCCAGCTGGGCCTCCYACACTCTGGGACAGAAGCAGGATGTTCTCTCAGCTTTCACACAAGCATTCTTTGTGCTGCTTCCAAAGGCCCAGCAGCCCCTTCCCACAGGGGCATTCTGACCCAAGCATGGGGACAGGACTCACCTCTCTCTGCTGAGTGGAACAGAAGAGCCCATGATGTGCCCCTCTCTTCCAGGCACTGCAAGATCTCCAGGGACCAGTCCAGAGATGTCTGAAARTCCAYTCCCTCCTGAGTGTCAGAAAGRARAGGTYTGGTTTGTCYTGGGCTGCAGCTGCATCAAAGGAAYCCCCACAAGAGACTGCACGAGGTGCTCTGCTCAAGGACCCTGTGAATGTGGCCCAAGCCCTCACTGGCAGCCTGGATTCCTCAGGAATTGGGCACCAGAGCAAATCAGAGCCCTCCTCACCAGGCCTGGCCCCCACAGGGCTCAGCTGAGAGAAKGGGAAGCTGCATCATGGRATGGTTTGGGTTGGAAGGGACCTTATGGATCAYCCAGTGCCACCCCTSCCAGTTCCACAGTCCCAGGGTGCTCCAAACCCCATCCAACCCCAATCAATCAACAGCACACTGCACACCCTGCACCCACCCCATGGTGCAGCTTCTGTCCCCTCTAAACTTTCCAGTGACAGCATGTCTCAGGATTATTGTGGGGTTTCTTTTTTCATTACTCATTTTACTTGGATTTACCTCCCAGCTCTGTTTGCCCAAGATGTTTCTCTCCTCCCTGGCTCTTCCCCCAGACTCTCCCACGGGCAGACTGAGACCAAATGGTTATTTTTGCCTTTAATCTGCTCCCTGATCCCATCTGTGAGGTGACTCCCCAAACGGCTGCACTTGAAAGCTGAGGTGACAGCAAAGGGACAGAAACAACCCTTCACAGGCAGCAGGATGCTCAGGGCAGGCAGCTGCTGGACACAGCCTGTCATCTCTGCTCTTTCACTTAACAGCATTAAACCATTTGGAAACTAATGTTCCTCCTTGCTGGGAGCCCTTCTTCTGTGAAATACCACATTCCAGCCTGAGGAAAAACATCATCTGACAGATAGGAGATGCTCCACAAAAGCTGAGGGAGATAYGAGGCTCCTGCACTACCTGGGAGGTGTGAAATCTGAACAGGAAACTGAAAATAGTAAATCATCCAGGAGGAGAGACAAAAGTAGTGAAAGAGAAGATAATATCGGTGAGAGGAAAACACAGGTTTAATCTGATGGGAACAGAAGGGCTTTCAGCAGGCGTGTCTGGGGTGTTGCTGATCYTTCCTCCTGGCAGAACAAGCTCCCAGCCCTCCCAGTGCTGCTGCAGAGCGTTTTCAGGCAGCAAACCAAGCTGATCAGACACATCCAGTGTCATGAGAGTTCCCTCAGGCTGAACTCACCTTTGGTGCTATTCTGGCTGAGATGAGATCCAGGAGTGAGAAGAACAGCAGAGCAACAAGAAGCTGCAAGGTCAAGAGGCTGCCTTTAGTTGTACCTGCAGTGGTAGCTCAAAACTCAGCCCTTCCACTCAGGGAACACAAACATTGCACCAGATACAAGCACAGTGTTTCACCTGCTGGGACCTCAGGCACCCTCAGCCCTCCCACAGCTCTCACTCCCCATGCTCCCTCCAGGAATTCTGAGGTGAAAGCTGCAGTTACTCCCCGTGCACTCAATGACACCAATTTCTGACTGGCAGCCTCTGGCTCCAGCCCAGCACAAACAGTGCAGGAGCCAAAGCCACAGGAAAAGGAGCTGCTGCCTGGAGCCATAAAACCTCCAGAGAGAGCACAAGGCCCAGGTTCCACTTCAGCACTGTTACCTGTGAACCTTTGGCACAGGGAACTCCCCGTGCTGAGCTCTGATTCTGACTCTTCCCAAGAAAAACAACAAAAAGAACAGAGAATTCCCCTGCAYTGCAGTGACCAGCAAGAGACATTTCCTGCACCAGACTTGGGAAAACCCTGAGGAAATCATTCTCTGGGAATCCCAGCAAAACTTCCCACAACACTTAAAAGGCCTTTACTGCTGTCTCATGAACTTCCTGCATCTCTTTAACTTTCCAGCCAAGTTGCCTGAGCTCAAATCCACCAGGGTGCTGCTGTTGGGAGGAGAGAGGCTCTTGGTGGGCCATGGATCAAGCTCTTGATCTCTACAGGGCTCTCTCCAGCTTCTRTTTCTTAAGCTGCTGTTGAATAGCCCTCCCTGACTTCACAGRAGCCAGAGTCTGAGGTAAAAGTTTAAGCTTGGAACAACTTTGCCTTTAGGATAAGAATTTAGCAACTGGCAATTTACAGCCRGGTTTTATCAGCTAGCCACCAGCAAGATTTCCCAACAGGGGTTACCAGGGATGCAGCACCATCTCAGCACAGCTTCTCTCACTTAAAGACTTCCAATTTCTGGTTTTCAGGTGCAGTAAAGAGCAGACACAAAGTGCACCCAGCCTTGCCTGCTCTGTGTCAGTGCTCAGCCTCTCCAGGGCCTCTCTCCCTCGTCCACGTGGTGACTGCTGCAGGATGGCACCGTGGAGGAAAGCAGCTGAGAGCCAAGTGGGGTCAGAGAGAGGAAAAACTGCTCCTGAGCAAAGRAATCTGGGAAACAAAACAAACATGAGAAAGGTTTGGATATAAAAAAAGGGGAAAAAGCACAGCTGTGAATGAGGAGGGAATCAGGGGCTTGGGCAAAGGCACAAGTTTGTGATCGGGACAAAAAAAATAATCATTCTCTTCATTTTGATTTCCCTGTAGTTGGATGCTTCATGGAGAAGCTGTAAAAAAGCCAAAGTCTAGCAGCAGACAGGAGCATTCCCAAATCTCTTTTATCAGCAGTGGGACAGGCAGTAACYCTACACTACAGAAGCATGTGATTATCACCTGCCA